GTACTCTGAGAACCATGAAACATTGATGAAAGAAATTAAAGAGGACACAAATAAATGTGAAGATATTCCAAGCTCATGGACCAGAAGAACCAGTATCATTAAAACGTCTGTACTACCCAGAGCAATCTACAAATTTAATGCAATCCTGGCCAAAATGCCAACAACACTTTCACAGAACTAGAAACAAATAATATTAAAATTTGGATGGAACCACAAAAGACCCCTATGAGCCAAAACAATCTTGAGAAAGAACAAAGCTGGAGGTATCACAATCCCTGACTTCAAGATATTCTACAAAGCGGTAGTAATCAAAACAGCATGGTACTGGCACCAAAACAGACACATAGGTCAATGGAACAGGATAAAGAGCCCAGAAACAAAACCAGTTATATGGTCAATCAATCTATGAGCAAGGAGGCAAGAATATGCAATGCGAAAAGAGAGCCTTTTCCACAAAAGGTTGGGAAAACCAGTAGCTACATGCAGAACAATGAAACTGGACCCCTTACTTACACCATACACAAAAATAAACTCAAAATGGATTAAAGACCTAAATGTGAGACCTGAAGCCGTAAAAATCCTAGAAGAAAACACCGGCAGTAATTTCTTCTGACATCGGCCATAGCAACATTTTTCTCGATAGGTCTCAAAAACAAAAATAACCTATTGGGACTGCACCAAAAGTAAAAGCTTTACATAGCAAACTACCAATAAAAACAAAAAGGCAACCTATTGAATGGAATGGGAGAAGATATTGGCAAATGATACATAAGGGGTTAATATCATGGGTGAAGGGATGGGCTAAATAGGTAAGGGGGATTAGGGAGGACACTTGTTGGGATGAGCACTGAGTGTTATACGTAGGGGATGAATCACTGGAAATCTACTTCTGAAGTCATTATAGCACTATATGCTAACTAACTTGGATGTAAATGAATAAATAAGTAAAAAGAAAAAAAGGGATTAATATCCAAAATACATAAAGAACTCATACAACTCAACACCAAAACACCCAAATAATCCGATGAAAATGGGAAGGACACAAATAGACATTTTTCCAAAGAGGACATTCAGATGGCCAACAGACACATGAAAAGATGCTTAATATCATTAATCACCAGAATGGTGAAACTAAAAAACACAAGAAATAACAGGCGATGGTGAGGATGTGGAGAAAAAGAAACTCATGCACTGTTAGTGGGAATGCAAACTGGTGCAGCCACTGTGAAAAACAGTATAGAGGTTACTCAAAAAAATTAATATAGAATTAGTATATGATCCAGTAATTCCACAACTGGCTATTTACCCCAAGAAAAACACTAATTCAAAAAGATATTTGCACTCTGTGTTTATTGCAGCATTATCTACAATAGCCAAACTATGGAAGCAGCCCAAGTGTCCATCAACAGATGAATGGATAAAGATGTGGTATATACATACAGCAGAATATTACTCAGCCATAAAGAAGAATGAGGTCTTGCCATTTGCCACACAGATGCATTTAGAGGTTATTACACTAAGTGAAATAGGTCAGTCAGAAAAAGACAAATAACGTATGTTTTCACGAAGAAGTGGAATTTAAGAAATAGAACAAACAAAAACAAACAAAAAAAGACTCAAATACAGAGAATACCAGTGATTGCCACAAGGGAGGTGGGCGGGTGGGGGGATGGGTGAATTCAAGGGGATCAAGAGTACAGTAATCATGACGAGCACGGAGTAATGTATACAACTGTGGAATTATTACAGTGCATCCCTGAAACGATCACTGTATGTACAGCATTCTTCAATTTTACTTTCTTAATTTATTTTTTTTAATGTTTATTTTCGAGACACAAAGAGTGCGAGTGAGGGAGGGGCAGAGAGAGAGAGAGAGGGAGACACAGAAGCTGAAGCAGGCTCCAGGCTCTGAGCTGTCAGCACACAGCACAGAGCCCGACACGGGGCTCGAACCCACAAACCACGAGATCATGACCTGAGCCGAAATCGGACACTTAACCGACTGAGCCACCCAGGCGCCCCTATACTTCAATTTTAAAAAATACATATCAACAAAGAAATATAAAGGTAAAAATTTTTAAAGAAAAAAACTAGTGATAAAAAAACGGTCAATAGCCAATTCATTATTGCATCCTGATACATTATTTCTACAGGTCACTGATAAAGAATGAAAATACATTAGCGGAAATGGTCACTAATCCCAGGATAAGCTGGAAACTGGGATCCTGGATCAACCGAGAAGAAACTAGAAAAGATACCAATTGGAGGAGGGTGAGCCCAGACACCTCGGGTGTCGCTTCCCTGCAGAATTTTTACAGAGGTCGTCAGGAAGGAGCACCTTCACGGACAGTAAAGGCTGAGTATGCATGAAGGTGGGCGTTCTGGGCACACCCTCTTCTTCCCGAACATGTAGGGTGGTGAGGGTGCGGGGGGCAGAGGGGCTGAAGCAGCCAAGCGCTGGATGCCTCCAAGTCTCAGGGTCAATCTCACCAGGATTTCACTTCTCTTTCCTTTCTGCAGAGCCCAGAATAGTGCTTGCTGTTCAGCAGGCACTCTAACAGGAATAATGAACCCTACTCATAGTCCATGGCTACACGTGTCACCACACTGGGCAACCTTCCCACAATCAGGACACCCAGGGGGTTACGGGAGGCTCCTGACTGTGGCTCTGCCGGAGAACCCTTGTGGAGCTATTACAGAGATGGGTCCTGGCAGCTGCAGGGGTTTCTACAGCTCCACTGGTGGTTACAACGCACAGGGTGTAGACCCACTAGTCTGTGAACAGAGGTAGGACATGAGTTGCTCTTTCCACGTAACCAAACTCTGAGGAGGAGGCTGGGGGGAAGCGTCTGTGAGAGAGAGAGAGTGAGAGAAAAGAGAAAGGAAAACTTGGGACAAGGACTCAATCTGGATTATTGGATCAACGACTGAGGCACAATACAATATGAACAAGAACTTTATCAAACCAAGAGTCCACACACACCATGGCAATAAGACACCCAAGTCACTAATCCTTGGTAACAGGAAGTATTGCAGCCTCCAGCTGGGCACTTAATTTCAGCATCACAATCTGCAAGATCATTCCAAGTTTCTCCTGTAAGCCTTTCTCGTTCTCTCTGATCAATAATGACCTCCAGTGCCTTGTCCCTGACAGCCTGTGGCATCACACCTTTCATCTTTGTATGGCCAATTCAGGGCTTTGTTGCAAGCCCCACATGGGAGGCTACAGACGTCTTAGGCTGTGACTAAGACGACAGGCTCTGGAGGCAGGCGGTGGGGTCAAAGACCTACGTCCACCACTAGCTGTGTATCCTCAGACCAGCTGATTAACCTCCCTGTGCCTCTGTTTCTTCATTTGTAATATGGGAATAAAAGCAGGTTGCTGTGAGATACAGACAACCCACCTGCTAAGCGCTCAATGACTAGCACTACCTGTGACAAACGTGCCCAAAGTGGAAAACGCAGTGACAAAACCAGAGCTGGTGTTCTCCTGCAGCTCCACACCAATCTTCTCCCGTAAGAGCACCATTGCCCAGCCAGGTGCTCAAGTCACAGCCCTGGGAGTCATCCTGGGCTCCTCCTCTCCTGTGACCTTCCACGTCCACTCCATCAGCAAGACTAGTCCGTTCTTCCTCCGATACACAGAGCCCTCTGTCTACATTCACTGTCCAAACCTGTAACCTCTCGTAATTTATACGCCCCTTGCCCCCCTCCTTAGCTCTGATCACCATCCCTTTCATTTTCCCCAGAGTTCCCAGAATAGGCTCTTAAAATGTCAGTATGATCATGTCACTCTACATTTACTTCCCACCATACGCAAGGTGAGCAGTGTAGTGATGACCTGGCGTTGACCTCACGTAAAGGACACCACCAGGGAATGCAGGAAGCAGGTGACGGGAGGAACCTGGGTCCCTGGATGTCTTTGATCTGGGTAGCACCAGCCCCACCCTGTATTTAGGCGCCCCCCACCCCCCGGTCTGCTCACCTCTATACATTATGGACAGCAGGATCAAGCTTCCACCTCGTTGGAACCAATGTGGTTTGAAACCTTCAGTTACAGAAGCTTAATCTGTGCCCTAGTAACACGGTCCCTGGAAGTGGTGTGCTTCTGTGACAGGGTGTTAAGTGACACTGGCTTCGTGGCCAGGCAGTGGTGGGTGAGGAAACACATGCAGGGAAGGAAACTAGGCACTCTTGTTATGCTGTCAAATCATGCGAGAAAACTGTGCCTGCATGAACTCGGGAGACAGATCCCGTGCTTAGTAAGCCTGTGGGTCCAGAAGACACAGAAAACTTCAGGTGCTGGGTATGTTGGCTGCTCGCTGGTGCTCTTAGCAAGGAACCATGAAATAAAGCAGGCGGGGTGAGACCAGCCAGTTCGCAAGCGGAGGTGGAAGTCACCGGGCGCTGCTCAGGGGCTCTGCCTTAACGTTCCAATCCGACGGTACTTGACTTCCAGTTCCCTAAAAGTCTAAGCAATGCCCTGCCTCCTATCCTGTTCCCCTTCCAGTCTCGTGCAGGCCCGATTACCCACCCGCGGATCTTGATCAGGGCTTTTATCACCAGTCACGTCACCTGACCCTGCTCCCTCGGGTCAAAGTGCTCAATCCAGGTGTGTCTGCTCACCTGGCAGCCCCACCACACCCAGCCCAGCGCCTGCACGCGGAGGCCTGACTCAGGAGCAGCAGCGAGCAGACCGCGGGGCGCCACTTGACCCTCACCCCGAGTCCACCGAGTCTGCCAGGCCGTACAGGGAGCCCGCGCTCCTGAGAGGGACCCAGGGTCCGGGGCCCCGCATCTCTGCGCAGGCGCGGCCGCGGGGAGGCGGAGTGCCTGAGTCGCGGCCCCGCCCCCGGCCCGCCCACCCTGGCAGGAGGGCGCCAGCGCTAGTCCGGCTAGATTTCCTCCCGGGCAGGCCCGCGGGGAGACACGAAGCCCAGTGGGCCCGCCCAGGGGCTCCGCCAACCCGTTCCTAACGCCCAGGCCCCGGGGGGGCTCACCGCGTCCCCCGGAACCTGCAGCTCCTCCGGCCGCCGCCGTCGCCACGGGCCCGGCACCATGGTATCCCTGCGGCCCCAAGCCCGAGTCCACGGGCCTCTCATGACCTACGGACTCCGGCCGCCCGCCGCAGCCACTGTGTCCACGCCTCTTTGCCCCCCCACGTGCGCCGAGGGCGCCAATGAGAGACGGGGGGCGGGGCGCCGCGAAGACGGCTGGGCCTTGCTTCGCGAGGGCAGCAGACAGGAGTAGCGGAGACCAGAGTCTTCTGGGCAAAAGGGGACTTCCGCCCAGGGTTGTTATTTCGCACAGAGGGCCAGCCTGTCACTTCTCCAGTCACTGGATCGACTGTGGGACTCCGAAGACCTTACTCCTTCAGGGTCCTGCCAGGCTTCGACTGCTGGTGGCGGATCGGCAGGGGGAGGTCCCGCCTCCTCGCTCTTGTGATTGGTCATCGAGCGCCGTCAGCAACGGTCTTCCTGTGGCTGGTCGGCTGATGGATGGCGCAGCGAGCCAATCCGTGTGGGCGAGCTGCCCTGGAGGGTGTGTCTGGGAGCTGTAGTCCCGGGAAGGGGGCCTCACTTCCGGGCGGGCGTGGCTGGGGGCGGTACGGTGATCGCCCGCCCGGGTGTGGCCCTGAGCGGGGAGCGGGCTGTGCAGAGGAGGAACGGGGGCCTGGCGGGCCGCGCCGGCTGCCCTCTGCGCTCGCACCCTAGGGGAGCTGGCAGCCCCCGTAAAGGCCGAGGCGCCCAGCCCCGTACTTTGATTAACTAACACGTGTCCGAGCCGGGCCTCTGCCGGGTATCTGCTAGCGGTGGGCAGGGCCGGAGCTCTGCGCAGTGGCAGTAAAGTAGGTCTGCGAGGGCGGGGCTCCGGGACAGAGTTTCCCATCTGTGGTAAGCGGATGGATGGGCGGGGGCTGCGTTCTTTCCAGCTATTGTTGCCGTCGTTTCCCGCCGAAGTGTGAGCTTCCCGGAGCCGCTGCAACCTTCCTGCCACCATGAGGGGCGGCTGGCGGAAAACCTGGTGAAAAGTGCGACAGCACCTAGGCCGAAACGCCTTGAGTTCCGCACCAATCCACAACTACATGCCTGCCAGCCTCCAGGCTTTTTGTTGCATTTCAATTATTTGAGGGCTGAGTTTACCATTCTGCTGCAGGCAAAGGCATCTTTTTTGTTGCAAAGCCTGGTTCTTACCCGTTAAGGTGAAATGCGTGACTCCTCCACTCCGTTGGGCGTCTGGCTGCATGATCTTCAGCAAGCTAGGTAGCTAATCTATATCAGTTTTGTTATTTATGAAAGATAATGATGAATCAGGGCATTATGAAGATTAAGTGAGGTGTATACATATAATGTACTTAGAACAACGACTGACACAAACTACTCAATAAATGGTATATTACTATTACTAGGCTTCCTATACTAACACTGCTGCTCCTAGTTGACGATCCTGTATCAAAACCCTGGACTTAACAGTTGTGAGCGAAAGTTAACAATACTGTATATTTGAAAGTTGTTAAGAGACTCCACGTTGAAAGTTCTCACCATAAAAAAAAATAAACTGTGTAAGGTGATAAATGTGCTAACTGATCTTACTATGGTAATCATTTTGCAATGTAAATATGTCAAATCATTCCAGTTGTACGATGTCCTATGCCAGTTATATCTCAATAAAGTTGGGGGTGGGACCTTGGGGCTGGCTGTGTTTTGGAATTCAAAATCTTTAGGATTTTTTTTTTGTTTGTTTTTGAAGCGCTCTCTCTCTCTCTCTCTCTCTCTATATATATATATTACGTATCTAGTATGAAACGCCTTCAGTAGGGCCTGGGACAACACCCTATGATCAGACACAATATTTATGTGGCAAAATGTGTGAATGTTCAGAAATATTCACCTTAAGTGGGATATATAACTGCTTTAAATAGTCTCATACCCGTTCAAATGTGTTTGCTCGAAACTTAGGAAGTACTGATTTTCAGAACTGTTGCATTTCAGAGTTGAAAATAAGGTGCTATCAAGAACCTGTACTACTACCCCTACTTTAAAACCTTTGTGTTCTTTTGGCCTTGCAGTTTACCTTGAATGATGTGCTGTGTGGTCCAGTGTCAGTATCACTGGCCTTTGGACTTGGGGCTGCTCTTTCAGGCACTTGAACCAACCATTGAGTAATGGGGGAACGCTTAGCCCACAGGCTGGTGACAGCTGTTCTCCTTGACCAAACTCTACCCAGGCTCCCCTGAACTCTTCTCAACTAGTCCCTGACTCTGGGGTTTCCATGTTAGTCTCTGCATTGTCCAGGTTTAGCAAGAGTCTCCCACCCTTGCTCTCTGGTCAGCCTCAATGTCTGATGGGGTTCCTCATTCCCCACATTCCCCCAGGTGATGTCTGATCACCCCGGCCTGCCTTCAGCAAGAATCCTGTTGGGTTGATTCAGAAAGAATTGTCCCTCACCCCAGATGTTTCCTTCTAGGATTTTTCGCCCACTGACCTCCCCCTACCCGCATCACACTCCTAGGCTATGAATTCCCACTCTTCTTTGTGTTGGGAGTTAATCCCACTCTTCCTCTCCTACTGCAAAACCCTGTTATAATAGTCTCTATATCTGTCACAATGGACCCCCTGAATAAAGTCTGCCTTACCACTCATGTCAAGTGTCATGCATTTTTTTTTCTTTAACACTATGTACAGCGATAGGTATATTTAATACATTGCAATTGAGTGTGATACGCTAGTTACCAAACAACAGTCAATTGGATACAATTACGATGTATACAAAACTCTGCTACTACTTAGTTTATTTAAATTAATATATATTTTTCAAACTCTAAAAATAATATAAGACATCTGTTAAATGATATTTATAGTACTCATTATTTCAATATGTTAAAACAAATACATTAGTTATTAGGAAAAAAAACTGGAAAATTCTCAGGACGTTGGATTCTTGCATATGACATCAAAAGCATAGTCAACAGCAACAACAAAAATGGATAAATTGGACTATATCAAAATTAAAAACTTACGTGCATCAAATAACACTATTAATACAGTGATAAGGCAACCCCAAAAATGGAATAAATATTTGTAAATCATGTCTCTGATAAGGAGTTAATACCTAGACTACATAAAGAATGTCTACAACTCAACATCAGGGAAAGAACCTGATTAAAAAATGGACAAAGGACTTGAATAGACATCTCTCCAAAGATGATTCCAAACAGCCAATAACCACATGAAACGATGCACAACATCAACTACTCATTAGGGAAATACAAATCAAATCCACATCGAGATACCACCTCACATCCATTAGGAGGTGCATTATAAGAAAACAAGTGTTGACCAGAATGTGGAGAAGTTAGGACCCTTGAGCGTTGCTGGGGAGACTACAAAATGGTGCAGCCCTACTAAAAACAGTATGACATTTCTTCAAAAAATCAAGAATAAAATTATGATCCACAACCCTACTTGTGGGTGTCTAACACAAAATAGCTGAAAGCATGGAGCTCGAATGCCCATGTTCATTGCACACTAGACGCAGTAGCCAAAAGATGGAAAGAACCCAAGTGTTCATAGACAGATGAATGGATAAGTAAAACGTGGTCCATCCATACAGTGGAATATCATTCTGCCTTAAGGAAAGAAATTCCGACGCCAGCTACGACATGGAACCCTGAGGGCGTTATGTGAAATGAAATAAGGCAGTCACAAAAGGATAAAGTATAATTCCAGTTACAGGAAATACTGGAAAAATCAAACTCCTAGAGACAGATAGAATGGTGGTTTCCAGGGGCTGGGGAGGAGAATGGGGAGTTAGTGTTTAATGGGTATAGACTTTCACTTTGGGAAGGCGTGAAGAGTTCCAGACATGGATGGTGGTGATGGTCACTTAATACCATTGAACTCTACACTTAAAAATGTTCAAAATGAATTACCCTATGACCCAGCAATGGCACTACTAGGTATTTATCCAAAGGATGCAAAAATGCTGATTCAAAGGGGCATATACCCCAATTGATGATACTAGCACTTGTGCTATCAAGCAATATCCAAAAATGGAAAAACCCTGACATCCATTGACTGATGAATAGGTAAAGAAGATGTGGCATGCGTGATATACAATAAGGATATAACTGGCAATAAAAAGAGAATAATCTTTCCATTTCAGACAATTGGATGGAACTAGAGTGAGTATTATGCTAAAAGCCTCGACAAGTCAATCAGAAAAGACAAAATACATGGTTTCCATGTGGATGTTGAAGGCAAACATCGGATGAACATAGGGGAAGAAGAAGAGAAAAAAATAGATAAAAAAACAGGGAGAGCTTACCATAAGACTGCAAGAACCTGAGACTTCATAACTGAGGGGTTGCTGGAGAAGTGGAGGGGGGGGGGATGGGCTAGATGGGTATGCATTAAGAGGACACTTGTTAGGATGAGCACTGCCGGTATTGTCATATGTAAAGAGATGAGATCACTGGAAACTCTCTCAAACCAATACTACCGCGGTATGTTAATGAACTTATCAACTAAAAAAAAAATTAAGACAGACAGAAATAAATAAAACAAATAAATAAAATAAAATGCCAAGAAGTCTTTAATAAAGAAAAATGTTTAACATATGGTGAATTTCACTTATATTTTACCTAAAAATATTAATTATTTACCACAAATAAATGAACCATTAAATATTAAGAAAAGAAACATTTCTCTACCACCATTTACCATCGCCATTGCCACCTGGTCCGGGAAGCGGCGCTCTCAGGTGACCTGAGGTCGGTTCCACCCTGCCACGATGTCCAGCTCCCAGAGCGTGGCTTAACACCTCTCACCCTGCCCTCTCTCAGTTAGAGAAGTTGAGTGTAATGTGCGATCTCGTCAGCGGGTCCTGTCGTCTTCACATGGATCCGTCTGCAGGTATGGCGAGCCTGATTGCGGTACTTTCGGTCACTGTAGCTGCCGACCATACTCCTAGTCTGTTATCCATCTGAGCCCTGGATTCGGTCCAGCGCGGTTCGAGGATTCAGTTGGCACTATGCGATCGACCTAACTAAGTATTGTTCACGGGGCTCAAGCATTCATTTCTAAGCCTCAGTTTCCTCATCTAGTACAA